AATCTAATGTGGGCTTGTGTCATGATATGAAGCAATATGAAGGAATATGACATTGGAATTCCAACCATTTGATTTATAGGTAAGGAAAATGAAATCCATACAGAATAACTACACTAAAATTCACACATCTAGTGATGATGGCAGAGCTGAAACCCAAACATTGATTTCCTAAGTCAACTTCTGTGTATTTGGCTTTTTTTTTATTCAATTTTAATTTTTTTTAATGTTTATTTTTGAGAGAGAGAGAGAGTGTGCATGCATGCACGTGCCAGCAGGGGAGAGGCAGAGAGATAGAGGGACAAAGGATCTGAAGTGGGCTCCGTTCTGACAGCACAAGCCCAGAGCCCAATTCGGGGCAGAACTCAGAAACCAGGAGATCATGACCTGAGCCAAAGTCGGATGCTTAACTGACTGAGCCACCCAAGTGCTCTTTTTTTTTTTTTAAAGTTTATTTAGAAAGAGCGCGAGAAGGGGAGGGGTGGAGAGAAACAATCACACAGTCTTAGTGCAGAGCCTGATGTGGGGCTTGAGCCCAGGAACTGTGAGATGATGTCCTGGGGCAAAATCAGAGCTGTTAAGCTTAACTACTGAGCCACCCAGGTGCCCCAAGTTCTTTGTATTCTTTAAAAATTTTTTTTCCTTTGAATTTTTTTTAATGTTTATTTATTTTTGAGAGGGGGGAGGGAGAGAAGGAACAAGTAGGGGAGGGACCAAGGGAGAGGGAGACAGGATCCAAAGCGGGCTCTGTGATGCCGGCACAGAGCTGGATGGGGGGCTGGAACTCATGAACTCACAAACCTCAAAATCATGACCTAAGCCAAAGTTGGACACTTAATCACCGAGGTGCTCTTCTGTGAATTTCTTATGAAGTTATACTACTTCTCATATTTTGCAATGTAGTTTTGTATTATTTGCTTCACATTACTTTGCACTTTGTGTTTTTATGCCTTCTCATTTAGATTCAAAACCTGTACGTAAGGGCAGTGGAGTCTTTATGACTTGGATTGTTTAATCATTAAAACTGATTTAAAGTCTTTTTTCTATGCTTGTTAGCTGTATTAACAGCATTAACAAAAATAATATTGTCATCTCTATAGTTGAGTCCATGATTCATTAAAAAGTGAGTGGATCTCTTAGAACTATTACTACTGAAGGTTAGTTTGCTTGACTCTCTTGACTCAAAGAGACTGAATGTTTGGGTGTCTTCAGAGTAAATGTGAACATTGCAATGGTTTGGAGGAAATCTGCAGGGTTTATCACATAACTATATTTAATGATCTAGCTAAATGTTCTTTTTCTCTTTTAGTTTCTTAGAACAGCAACACTTTTACATTTTTCTACTTTGTCATCTTGTTCATCTGTCAGGAAGCAGATTATTGAGCAATCTGCTTATTGAGCAAAGTATTCTGCAAACATTTCCATTTCGGGAGTCAAAGCTTTTTTATATTTGTTCTTGACTTTTTTCTCCTTTTGGCTCTAAAGTTTCTGTTAATAGCATCAGCATAGTGTTGCCTTGGTATTTTTTTTTTTTACATTTATGTAGTAAGAGTTAAATGGTGTAATGTAGAACAGAAAACTGTCCGGTGAAATATCTCTGGAGGGAATGTTTTCCTCTTTTGGTTTGAAACAGGTTAGAAGCTGTTTTTCTTTTATTTCCTGGTTTATAATTGTTTTCTAAATTATTTTTTATTAAATTTTTTTTTAGTGTTTATTCATTTTTGAGAGAGAGAGAGAGAAAGAGACAGAGCGTGAACAGGGGAGGAGCAGAGAGAGAGGGAGACACAGAAACCAAAGTAGGCTCCATGCACTGAGCTGTCAGCCCAGAACCCAACGTGGGGCTCGAATTCATGAACCATGAGATCATGACCTGAGCTGAAGTCAGACACTTAACCAACTGAGCCACCCAGGTGCCCCTATAATTGCATGTTTTTTATTTGTTTAAATAAATTATCTGCTGTGGGGTGCCTGGGTGGCTCAGTTGGTTAAGCATCCACCTCTTGATTTCAGCTCAAGTCATGGTGTCACGGTCCTGGGATCGAGCCCCATGTCAGATTCTGCGCAGATAGCAGGGAGTCTCTCTCTCTTTCTCTGCCCCTCCCCCCTCAAAATAAACAAATAAACATTTAAAAATAAAT